CTTCATGTGCGTTTAGATTGATAACATCTGACCATTTTCGTTCCCCGCTTTTGTTTCTTCTTTGTCCCGGAGCGCGTGAAAGTGGGTCTCCCCGGCACGAGCTTTTGGCATTGACAGTGCTGCGGTGGTTCGTTACCGGCTATTTCTTTGTTTCTCGAGAGCGCGTGCTGTCGGCATCGAGCACTACAAAAAATGGCATCACCCTAAGCGGAAGGACATTGAGGCACCTTAAGGTGGGGATTAAACCATCAGAATTCATGGGTTCTGCCATAGCCTCCTCTATACTGACAAAGCCTGGCAGATCGCCACGAGACGCGGCGGCCGAAAGCGAAGAGGTAGAGCGGCAGACGACAGATGAAAGAAGAGGCATATAACGGGCGCCCCGCTGCGGCAAGACGCCGAAACACACTTCTCCCGAGCGATGGAATGTCCGCTCGTGCGCATCGCATTTCTCGCGCTATACCACTTCTTTTTTTGTCGGGTTTTAAAACCATCTTTCGGGTACTCGCCACAGCGAAAGCTGTGCGCTGAATATCAGGTTCCTTAAAGGAGCGATGCAACGATTTTTGTACTTTGCGCAAATACCGTTTAAAACGGATCCCTAACGTTAATGACCTATGAAACACGCGTTCGTTTTTTACCCCACGCAATAGAAGTCCCAGAAAAAAATTAAAGAAAATCAAGCAGCGTTCACCCCCTCAACTCGCAGCCAGAACAAGCGGCCACGTGATCTGGAGCCGATTATATGCCGCCAATGTTGATCATAGCCACGCGCCGGGGTTGGCAAAGCGCAGGACACGCGCTGAGTTCGAGACGTTGTTATGGCTCGGCTGTTGTCGTCGTTGCAACGATTGGACACGGGTCACAACCCGAATGCTTCTCGAGCTAGCAATTGTCACGAGCCCAAGTCGAGTGCCCACGCAATGCTCGGGTCCAATCTATGAACCGCATTCAAATATCGTCACTTGGGTGTACTGCGATCCCCGAGTTACATCATCAAATTTTGCAAAGGAGAGATTGAATGAAAATGATCGCTTTTGTCCTTGAAATTACACCGCAACAAAGGAGTTTCTTGGCCAGTGGCGTTGCGTGTGAGTATCCTTGAGTCCCAGGTGTCCCAGTAAGCTGGTGTCAAGTGAAAAACATTCCAATTAAATATCGTTGCGCAGCTCCTTTAAGAAATGCTATCTGCAATTAGATCCTCGCGCTCCAAATCTGCGACCGGGCACTCTATGGCTGTACAGAGGAGGCTATGGTTCTGCAGCCCGGGCTTGCGCTCTACGCAATTCAAACTGCTGCGTGTTACCCAAGGAGGTTAAAAGTACTAGGAGGGGGCACGTTCCAATATTGGTGAAGCCTAGTCATAAAAAGTTTAAACGATGTTGTGGCCAACGTGACTGTAGATCTCTCTGGCGATTGGTGCGCGTGACATGTCACGTGTGAGATGGATGGTTGATTGTAGAAGGACTCCTTGCAGGCCTGCGCACGCTCCGTCCAGTAGGTTTTATCAGATCGAATTCTAGACTGTGGTGTATTCTAGTACCCCATAGCTAGACGAAAGCTAGCTAGGGTCACATGATGTGGCCACGTTGGCGTGGTAAGTGAGGAGAGTAAGGAGGAAAATGAGAAAGAGGCGAGGCGTCAAGGGAGCGTGGCTTGTGAAGGCTACGCGGCTGGCGTCATGCCATCTCGTACCCTTCTATCCTCCTTGGCGTTACCACACTCGGCCAGCGATCCCCCTAGAGCTACTGAATTAGCTACGCTTAGAGTACCGGCAGTCTGTTCACCGATATTGTTCTGGGCGTCGCCATCTTGGTGCTTGTTCAGAGCAGGCGCAACTGCCGATCGTCATGATACAAAAGTGCGACTGCCTCAGCATTAGATTCGGCGTTAGAAAGCTAATGTAATATTGCTTTGCTCTGTTGCGAACTGTTTCAACATTTGTGGAGGACGAAAAAGCGCTTCCTGTGATTTCAGATAAGGCCTTAAATTACTGGAAACCATGATTTTAGGCCGCATTATGAGTGAGTGTCCTTACTCTGAAGCGTAGCTTATTTAGTGGCACTATAGATCCCCCTATGCGATAATTATAAGCTATTTCTGTGTTTACATACTGGAATGGCTTTAAGTGGCTATTTTTGGCTATTAATACATCTTTTTGAACAGATTGGTTTGAAATAGCTACCAGAGGTGCGAGCGATGGAGCGTGAAGGATCACCTTTTCGTAGCCTTCACTGGCAAAGCACTCGCTCTGGTTCAGGAGGTGGCAGAAGGTCGGGTACAAATTTCGGTTCGTCCCCACCGTGATCAAGGCTTCCACTCCCAGGGCCATAACCTTCTGAAAATAAAATAGCCAGCAGACAACGTTAGCCGTTAGCTGAAGAACAGACATGGCAAGTCTATTTTTTAGAGTGCAGCTCTTGGGCGCCCGTTTCCAGCTTGAGCGGTATCGCCGTCGGCGTAACCACGGCATGCATCATGGGAAATGTCCCATAATGCACCGCGTGGGGAGGAGGAGGGAGAAGGAGAGAGGAGGACGAGGGGGAGGACGAGGGGGAGGGCAGGGGGAGGAGAGAGAGGGAGGAGGAGAGGAAGAGGAAGGACGAGGGGAGGAGGACCAGGGAAGATGAGGAGGAGGGAGGAGGGGTATACCCTCCCCTCAGTACCCTTCGCTCCTCCTCCTCAAGAGCTGCGCTCTAAATCGGCGTTACAGGGTGTTTTAAACGTCTCATTTTTTTAAAGGAATTACGGCTTTTCTTCGCAGTGCCAATTCAACGAATATTGACGCTCCAAAGGTCAGCTCGAAACTTCGAAAGAGACAGAGGGCGCAACTGTCGACGTACCTCGCACGCTGTGTAAGCTCGGCTGACGATGTCCCCAAAGTCTTTGGCGACGGGCTCGGTGCAGGTACCGCTGTGCACGATACGAAATGAGGACAGCACTGTGTGACGTACATTGTTTGAACACAAATGTTGGGCTCTGTTCTCGGGACGAGGCGCGGGAGGTATTGGGGAGGAGATCGAACAGTCACGCCTCTAGCGGTGCGCTTCAGCTGTGGGGACAACAAACCCCATTTTCTTGTTTGTTTTTGATCCGAGAAATCGAAGACGACGATTCGAAGGCCGCTCCTCGTGCGACCAAAGCACTGATCAAAGCGAAGCGCTCGTGCCCAGACCGTGCTCGGCGAGGTTCAATTTCTTTGTTATGTTGTGTTGGTAAACACCGGGTTGTGGGGACAACAAGCTCTATAAAGCGCCCCCTATAGTTCGATCTCCTGCCCAATAGCAAAGGTGAACGTGACAGCAGCTGGTCATCGAGACTAGAAACACGGCAGCGAAGATTCGGGCTTCATAATATAGACGCTTTACAGCAGCTGTGCATGGGCGCCGCCATAACTGACCTTCAGTTTTTGTTCCCTCTTATTCCGTTCGCTTCACTTCATCATTACCACAGCAGGACAGGTTATTGCCATCTTAGGTGCTACTGTGTACTTGTGCCCAGCATAGGCCCTTGTGAAGACCCGTCAACGCCCGCTTCAGTGGCTCGGCATCTCGGTAAGACAGGAGAAGGGCGGCTATGGCGGCTCAATCTGGCGCGTGTGTAAAGCGTCTATATCCTTAACTTTATTCTAGACAAAGATTGTTCGCTTTTACGGTGAAAGGGTCGTATACGATACTCGGACTAACAGTAGGTTGCAATATTTATTTTTGTGCAGAGCGGATTTGTGGGTTGATGTGACACAAATATAAGGCTCTCTGTCCGATGTCGCTTGGGGTGTAGGAAAAAAATAATCGGAACGACTTACGTGATGGCATCATGATGTTGCGCCATGGCCACTGCTTTATCTGCGCGTGACACAATGTGAACCTTTGTATCATCTCGTCTATTTTTTCAACGTTTAATTTATATTTTTAGTGAGTCAATATTTATGAGGGACAAGGTTAGCTAGCTACCAACGCTTTATTTTTATCCACATGTCCCAACTCTTCCACGACAAAAATAACGCAAAGACGCGTACTTTTGTCAATCGTCCATTTATTAGTCTTATGGTGACACAGTAGCTTGCCGGCCATCTAACTTTGACGTCTTTTTTTTTAATTTCACACTTGTTGGTGGAAGGGGTGTTGGATTGGCTCTTCTCTTTATAACTTGCACTAGCTTGCGCCACTAAGCCTAAGAACTAAAGCATGCGATTCCCTAGGATGTGTTGGCAATGTTGCTCACCCAGAAGGTCGATAGCGGTTTCCGTGATGTTGGCTAACACTGTGATCTGCCGGCACGCCTGTCAAGTATAAGAGGACAAAAGTGGGGAAGCTTTGTCCAATCGCATTAACACTTCGCGAGTTCATTTCAAGTTACGACAAAGTGGCTTTATTAATAATAGGCATTATAGGGCTCATGGTTTAAGTCTGCATTAATTAAAGCAAGCCTTATTACAAACGATGATGGTCACCGATTCATCTGACAAGCGTCGTGTTGCGCTTGTCTAAATTTATTCGCTGTTGTATACTATCTCCTTTCCCACTCATTTTGGTATTATTTGCTAGTGGTAGGCATTAGAACCAAAAAGTCTCGAGGTACACCTAAGCACTTCTTATGAGTTGTGTATGCGAGAGCATGCACGTCATTCTTCCGCTCCCTCATTTCGTCTGCAGCGTATTTGAGTCGACGGCAGAGCGCGCCTCCTCCTCGCCGCTCTTGGCCGCTCTGACCTCGAACGTTTTATGTTACCGGCGCGCTGACGGACACGCAGCGCCATGGGGTGGCGGTCGTTGCAACTGACGCGCAGCGGCCAATGGGAGCCTCGCCAACGCGCGCCAGCCAATGGGACCGAAGCCGAAATCCATCAGCTTTACTCCGCTCCTTTGGGATTGGGGAAACTAGGTGCCGTTCGGCGTGGCTTCAAAGCTGATGACGTCAGCTTGCTTCATGGGACCAGTTAATGCTTTCGTAATAATGCACAGTCGCTGTTTCGCGTACTTACGTAATGTAAATGGTTCTCACAGTCTACTCAAGTGGAAGCACAGAGCCAGGAGGACCCAACCAACGCAAACCGATGTTTTGAACGTTACCTGGAGAAAATTGGAAGCCCGTCGTATCAAGTACTTGAGCGACGGTCTGGAAGAGTAGAAGCCCGTCCACAGGTCACCTGGCTTGTCCGAATAGGGGAAGAAGTCGCCCCTGTGGACAGGCTCGATCTCGTTGGAGCTGTTCACGAGTGACGTGGTCCACTCGGTGTTCAGGCTCCGTAGAAAACATCCGGGCGTCGAGTAGAACGCGTAGAATCCACTGTCCTTCTGTGTCCCCACAAGCAGGATTAGGGGCAACATTTCAGGCGGTTCATATATGTCCTATGCAAATTGACAGGGCATCTATCTATGTGGAACGTTAAGACATACCGAGGAAAGACATAACATAAAAAAATCTGCGCCAAATAGATGGCACAAATAGTGGGAAAAGCACAGGACAAGCGCTGTCCTGTGCTAATCCGAGTCCGCCCCGGTTGTTTTAGGCTGTTTTTTCATTATGCCGATCAATCACCAACTCGCTCAACAATCTACTATTTCACCGTAGAATCATGAGAACGTCAGCGGGACAACGCGTGTTGCCGGGGAGGCGGCGTAGATGTCATATTCACCTTTACAGGACTTGTACGGCAAATTATAGGACACTCTGAGAACCACGAGTTTAAAACTCCGAGCGTTGATTGTTTCGGTTTTATGTGTAAGCACGGAGGGATTTAGGGCGGCTTCAGGATATCCCGGCCTCTCTCCGAGGTCAAGCTAAACTCAACCAGACTTCTCATATGCTGGGAATAAAAATCGGACTTCGCTTCTGGATGGAAGGACGATTGACTGAGGTAAAACTTCGCGCAGTACCAAGGTGTGATATGACGCAGCAACTTACGGGTAATCCACAAGTGAACCCGGATTTTGTAGTCCGACAACACGGAATAGTTTTGAGCAAAAGCAGTTCGGTATGAGCACGCTCTATACTTGATTTATGCACACGGAGGTACTGAATCAGTAAATTATTCCTCGCCCGACGATTGCTTAGAGCTAGACGAGTTATGCTGGTGTAATTTATTGAGCAACTGCTATAGCCGGCGAACCTAACCAAGCAGGAATGTGCCATTCCCGCTTGGTTAGGTTCGATGAATGTGCCATTAGTTTGAGCTTTTAGTGTGTGCGTCTGTGTCAGTGTATGTCTTCTAGTCTTTGACTCCGCTCTTGTAATAAAACGAAGTATAGCATAACCCTTCGGAGGTCGTTCGGCGAGGAGGGAGAGCGCGCAAGATGTGAGGATGCGCTTTCTATACGTTTTTGGCAGATAGAGTGCCTTCATGCTGAGCGACCACAACGAGGCATCGCATGCGTTCCAGTCGATGGGTGCTCGCTTTCTATTGTTCTGTCTGACGACTATTCCCTGCTTTGAAAACCCTCTAAGCTGGTTGGCAGGCGAAGATGCAGCATTATCGAGGGAGAAGGGCACGAGAAGACAGTGCATAAAGGTCTTCACACTATAGTTGCCCACTTTTTGTTTATCTTAAGATTGCTGCAAACGGCGTGCCTCCGACAGAATGTTATGGTCGTAGGTCCCTTTGCCCAATTATCTGTCGTGAGAATGCCACTAAGTGCTTCTCTTACACGATGAATTTCGTTATTCAGACGGCGTTCAACAACGCCTGTAGTGAACCATAAAAACGAGATATTGAAACCATATTTCAAAATAAGATCCGTGGGAGAAAAATAACAAAAACAAAAACTGGGTGGCTCTCTCTCTACTTTGACAGGAACACGAAGGACCGTCATAATGGTACTTACTTCGGAATTAATGATGTCCATGAGGCTGTCCATCTGACTGTACCAGCGCGTCGCGTTGTAAAACGCAAAGTCGCCTCCAAACATCACAATTTTTTGGTTGGTCCGGAATCCGTCCTGCGTGTGCGTGTTGGCCGAATAAGCGTAAGTTTTTTGATCCCCTTCAGTCCGCATCTATAACACTCTACAAGAACTGTGCGAAGGGAAAATACCCTACGAGACAACAATCTCCACATTGTGATCGCGCATAAATTGTTCGTAAAGGTAGCGACACTGTCTAGATCTTAATAAACAACTAAGTGACAAACTCAACATAGACGCAACAGAAGATGGTCAATCATGATGTTTCAAACGCGAGACTGTGGTGAGGGGAAAAAATAAATAAAACTTTAAAGTTTAAGAACGAGGTTCTGTCTGTCGACGAAACCGGAAGTGACGTCCGTTGTACTTTGTTTATGTTGTGGTTGGCGATGTAGGGCGTCCGTCACCGATGTCGCAAAAATCCTCGAAAAAGATTGCCAGCCACACGCGCGAACCGAACCTGGGTCTGCCACAGCGCAAGACGTATTGAAAAAAAAATTATTTTGAGGTTGCGAATTTTACGCTGGAGAAAGTAGTTGTCCAGCAGCATGGACACTGCAATAGCGTCTGGTTTGACGTCAGTAAATTCACTTTTTCGGCTACTCAGTCGATATTGTTTAGGAATATTGGGGGATGCAGATGATAAAGCTATAGAGCCCCCAAAAGACCAAGTCACTGTAAGTGGGCATTTTGAAAGCTGGATGCGTTCTCCCAGTGGTGACTTAAATCACACCTTCTCCACAATAATATTCACCGAACGATTTTCATTTACCGCTTGTCTATATTTCGTTGCTTTCTACGTTGAATTGTTTTGTACCTTAATCAAGGAATCACCGAAGAAAGAAATTTTTCATGTCAGGTTGAACACGAGGACAAAGCAGTAGCGTTCTGAGCAAATCAAAACGCCGTTTTTTTCCTTTCTACTCTCGACTTCGTTCGTCAGTTACGTCACGTCTTATTGCATGTAAATTAGAATAGGAAAGAAGGGAACAAAAACTAAAAAAGTAATGCCCTATTGAAAGAGAATCAGAACGCGAAAGAGGAAGCAAAGGGAGATTATTTGCTAACCAAAACAAATCAAGCTATTTTTGCTGAAGAACGCCTGGTTTACACAACGAAAAGTTGTTAATTAAACTGTACCTTAAATTTGCAATAATTATTTTCTCCGCGCTGTTTTCAGTGACCGGACGGATTTATGACTATATCTCTACTGATTAAGAATCACTACTTTTTTTATACAGTTATTTAAATAGAATTAATCTTACAGATCGAATAAATTTGAATTAATCAAATAAGTCTGTTTTATTATGCTCTTTTCTCAGTAATATCTCGATTTTTTTAAACCCAGGTTTTATTTTAACGTACGATCAGAAATAATCAATGTTGCCGTTATAAAATTCTCTTTTTTTTTTGCGCGTGCGTGCGATTGCTTACTTAGGATCGCTTGTTTTAAAACTTGATATACACAAAGATTAGTTTGGAATTCTGACGACTCTTACCGAACGAGTGATGTTCAGCACGAGCGGCGTAAAGTCTTTCAGCTGCTCTTTCTAGAGAAGAAAAAAACAACCCAATCAAATTGCGGTCAAAGTTTTTGGTCAGGGGACACACTCGAGATAGAACAGTTTCGATTGGCCTTCTTATATAGACCAACACACTGTTGCTTATAGACCAACACACACCGCGCGTGCACAGTGTTGGCAGCATCGCCGTCGCAGTTGCGTTACGTCATTCTGTTCCTGCTTCGTGATTGGTCCTTGGGCGGTTTTTATCGGCTAATGCCACAATTTCATTGGATGCGGAGTGGTAATGAGATGCTCGAATTTCGCCACGCCCTGGGCATAGGACGTCCTTGTTTTTTTTAGTAACAACGTTAGTTATAAAAAAGCAACAACAAAAAAAAAAGAAACCACACAAATCTGGCGTTATTTGAGGCTTTCTAATGGGTTCGATTTTTTGAACAGAAACGAGAATTCGAACTTGCATGCAAAAGACAACGTGTCCTAATCCCCCCCCCCCCCCCCTCCCTAAGAAAAAGAAAAAAAACTTAGGTTGTTTTTTTTTTCTATATTTTATATTGAAGAATAAATTATGTATTGCCGAACGCTCATTGTCCGCCCAAATGAGGCGCTAGCGGCGGCTGTCCGAACCACACGCCAAAGTTATAAAACTATAACCGTTGACTAAAAAAAAAAAAAGTTATAAGCGATGTTTCTTTTTTTAATTTTAAATAGGAAAAAGGGGGGGGGGGGGGGGGAAGGGGGGGGCGTGTCCGCCCGTTATCGGTAACTGGCACCATTCAGGCTCCCCATGTATTCCAGAGTTCCGTCGGTCGCCATTTTCCCATTAAACGTTGCAGAAAATCACTTATTACTTCTTATAAATAAGATAACGGCTCGTGCTGAAGCTTCGCAAGCTGATTCGGAACGCTTGCGCTGCATTTGCGTGAAGCATAAGCGTTCCTCAAAGCATGTAAAAACAAAACAAAGAAAGCGTTTCTTTTTTTTTTTTTGTTTTGTTTTGGGTGGTTTTTTTTTTTTTTTTAATGACAGAGTCACCGACAGCGTACGAAACGCAGAGTGTGGCGAATCCTGTACCTCTCATTAAGGCCCCGCGCAGCCAATGAGATTGCAGTATTCGCAGGTAAGTACGCCCAACAACCAATCACGAAGCAAGGAGCCTGATTAACGTAAGAGCTGCCACGGTCCGGTTCCGGTGACATCAAAGCGACGCCGAGCCCCGGTTGGCTCGGATTGGAAGGACCTCGAGGCATCCAGCATTGAGGTCTACCCACTATCCTTTCAATCCGAGCCAATCAGAGCTCGTCATCGCTCTGACGTCACGAAAACCCCTCCGCGAGGAGCAGACGAACTTGCCCTCCGTACAGTCCTTCACTTGGACGGGAAGGGCAGATTCAACAGTCCACGAAATGACTCTGCGGAAGTGTCACATGCTACGCGGCGTTCTTTTTAGAGCGCAGCTCTTAGGCGTCCGTTTCCGGCTTGAGCGGCGTCGGCGTAACCAAGGTCACCCCAAGGTCACGTGACCCCCAAGGTCACGAGACCCCCTAAGGTCACGTGATCCTTCCCAAGGTCATCCCAAGGTCATGTGACCCCCAAGGTCACCTCAAGGTCACGTGCCCACTCCCCGAAGTCACGTGACACCCCCGAGGTCACGTGACCCCCTCCCCCCGAGGTCGGGTGACCCCCCCCTGAGCATATTAAAGAATGAGGGGAGGAGGAGGAGAAGGAGGAGGGGTCTACCCTCCCCTCAGTACCCTTCCCTACTCCTCCTCAAGAGCTGCGCTCCAATTCGGCGTTACAGGCAGTTGTAAACGGATTTCACTTTTTTTTTCTTTGAAATATTGATAAATATTGCGTCTATGCCGGCAATATCTCAAATGATTCGTTTACACCGGCTGTTATTAAAAGGGAAATCTAATCTGATATCGATATGCATTCACTGATTAATAAATAACTGCGAGTGGCTGCTCTATAGTTGTTTTGTTTATTCGTAGAAGCGCAAACGAATGTTCGTGAGCCTCTTCGCGGGTTTTGAACGCGTTGATGTTTTCCGACATGAATTTGAATTCATTAAAATTATGCGTATAGAGTGTCTAAAGATATAAACAAATACAAATTTCGCGGAAAAGAAAACTGCACGTCACTGGTCATCCCATAGGTCCTCCATGATGTGATGGCGTCCCCTCACGTGACAGTGCGACTTAATATTGTCACGTGACCATCCGGAAAGAAAGTGACCACGAGATGTGACGTCACGCTGTAGCATGACGTCACGATGTCACGTTATACCATCCCGCCAGCACCGCGTGACATTAAGGCGTCGCATGGCGATCGTGACGCCGATGATGATCGACGCGTGACAGTGGATATACGAAAGCTCCGAAGGCCGGTTATATGCTAGGCATTTAATAAATTGACGTGAAACGCAAATAAAGAAACACAAGGCTGCACACCTGAACGTATATTCTCGCGACTACTGCAAAAACAGCGAAAACTCACCGTGAGGAACGGACCCGTGAAATCGAGACTGACGGGTGCCGAGTACTCATGCGGGAGCACCGCCGTGAAGATGTCCTGCTCTGAAACGGAGCGCAAATAACCCACTGAACGACACCTCGGTCTACACTGTGGAAGCGTGAGCTATTTACGCAAAACTAAAGCAAAGCGTGTCCTTTCATGTTCCCAATTTTTGCTTCGTCATTCGCTTTTCGGCTTTTTGATTGGATGCCGCAATCTTATGGAATGCGGGGCGACGATAAGATGACTGTCATGAGCAACAGTACATCACGAAAAAGATAACTTGTTTCTTATAATTGTGGTAAATGCAACGACGTCCTGCACACCGAAACCAGCTCTCGATAAAAAAAAAAAAAAAAAAAAAAAAAAAAAAACTCGACAGAGAAACTTAAGACTGCCTTCGTGTAGGAATGCGAAAGCATCCCCACAAGCAGCGCGCCAGGTCTTCCATTTTCACACAAAGCTTCGGCGGTGACATCTCACTCCCCCAGTGCGCAGGCGCGGTGAACCCCGCCGGCTTCACGACGGCTTCTGTGACGATGCATCTGCGTTGCTGTGCTTTTCTTAGTATTTTATTTCTGAGGCGCATTCGCTTTGACCTTGAGCGGCCTATCTATACTTCGTTTCAGCTTCGGTCCGAGCGCGGCCGATGTTATGAGCAGAAGGGCCAATCAAACAGCGAAAGAGGCACAACGTCATGGCGTGCTCTCTGCAGTTGATAGGACCAGCCGGTATTCGCCGTCTCTCCATGCGTGCCCCTCCGCCGGCTAGTCTTATTAAGCGCAGAGAGCATACCATGACGCTGCGCTTTTTGCGGTGTCTGATTGGCCCTTCGGCTCATAATATCGGCCGCGCTCGGACCGAAGTTGAAACGAAGTATAGTTGCCGTTTCGCTGCTACAGGCAACGCCCAGCCAATGAAAATATAGCTGCCGTTTTTCGCCAGTTTCACTGGCTTCGCTCCATGAGGCAGTTCATGCTTTCGCGTTAAAAGGGAGGAGCCTTTCGAGTGTCTAATGGACCCGGGCTCACTCAGACTGTCGTCCCCTCGCCATAGAAATTCTGCCTTGTGGTTCGCGCGCCTCCAGTCGTGATCCAGATAGTGGACACGACCCAGGAGGAGGCCGTCGAACTCCATCTGAAAAGGAGAGACGAGAAAACGCCACTGAGAAACTCGGAACAGAACTATATTAATTATAGAAGAATCAAACAAACAAATTGGATGTCGGTAACGTTTATTAATAGTGAGGGTTTGATCAGCCTTTGAACTGTGGCGTCACTGTCGGAACACGGAAATGGGTGAGAGACAAGTTGGAAAGGGTGGACGCCCTCTTTCCTCTTTGGAAGTCCCCAATGGCGGTCATGATAGTGCATTTCATTGGACACTTTCGTGAGTCAATGGCAGATGAAAAAGGTCAGCTTCCGCCTTCACCTGGCGAATCCGCCGAATTCGACACACTCCAGGAGGCGCTGCGGTATTAATAAAAAAAAAAAGCACTGCCTACAACAAAACAAAAATAAAAAATAAAAAGAACGCTCTATATGTTTTTTTTTTTTTTTTTTGTAAGCTGAGTGAGGACATTTTATCCACATTTGCAAGCAGCCACGCTTCAATATCTATGTAGTCAGGCCACTGAAAGTTAAAACGCTTTATTGGGGTACCAGTCCCGCAAACCTGAGAACGCCTTGACAAGGCTTGACTATCGGACAATCTCTGCCCACACCAGCGGGAAGATGGCAGCATCTAAAAACACTCATGTGGTCTTTGAAACACGTCTGCGATCGGGGGTGTATTTTTCCGCGTCCCTGTTTGAGGTTCCTCGATTTCCACCTCGTGACGTCATATATGTGTCACGCTGTTCCATTCTGCGATCCTGGCAGTAGCATAGCAGCGGATATTAGAGCGGCAGACGTCTGTTCCGCGTATATCTCTCTTCAGGGGAAGACTTCACTCACTGCTTCGGAAGCCACCATTTGAGGCGCCGCACGATAGTGACACACGCGTTTGCAAACCCTTGTTGGGGTGAACTTCCGTAACCAACCGCCAGGAACGCGACGTTCGACAGCGCGACACGCCAGCTGCCGTGACGTCATGTGCTTGGGGGCCACTTTCGATGCACGGGAGGCCCAAAACGCTAACCACAACAGTTGTGCACGCGCTCCAGGCACCCTACGCGGAGTGCAAGTCGTCTGCTTCTTGCGTAGGCGTTGTGTCTACGTCAGAACAGCGCCAAGTTTTGATCGGCTTTGTTTGAAAGGATAGTCGGTATACCTCAATGTTAGATGCCTTGATGTCTACCCACTATATTTTTTTTTAAACAGACAATAAGAGCTGGCCGCCCTGATATCATCGCAAAAAAGCAGACGATGCTCTTGTTCGCTCTTGTTGGAGGGAGACGGCGGGGAGACAAAGACCGCTAGCATTTCCCTCTACCCACTAATCCTTCCAATCAGAGCTCGGTGCTCCGACGTGACTGCGCGCATTCATCTCCTCCTCTCTCTTAGTTTCTCTCCGTATAGTTTGCGGCGTGGACCGACCTGGCCGAACAGGGCCGCCTGCTCCTTGGAGTGTCCAAAGGGGTCCAGCTGCCAGACGGCCCTGGGAAGAGCGCAGGGTCCGAAGGTAGCGTTGATCCAGCGGTGGCCCAGCGTCATCTGGTCCACCACGTCCGTGTACAAGGTGCTCGCTTCGTCGTTCATCACCCAGCCGCCGCTGGCCAGCTCCAATCGCCCTGCGAAACACTTGGTCCCTCACAAAGCGTCAGCCCTCCGGGGCATGCTATACTTACTACCGGCGACATTTTGATAGTAAGTCGTTTGCCTCAAAATTGTTTGGACACATTAATATACACATATGAACTAAGCATGTAAACTAACACTTTTAAAGCATTTTGGACGACCCGCAAAAAATCGGTTTCTCAACGTATCGCGCTGCAAGTTACTACAGAGATGAAAGTAAGTAGTCAAAGGTGACAGTGAAAAAAAAAAAAAAAAAAAAAAAAAAGCTTTTCTAGTTTGAAATAAGAAAAAAAAATGTTCTGGGCAAACTACACCGCCACTTCGCGGACGATTTACGCGTAGTGAAAAATGCTGCCGACAGGTGGTGTACGCCGCGTCGAGGAAGCACCGGTCGATTCGGGTTCTTTTCCGGGATCGTCTGTTATCATAACCCGAAACGGCCGGCGCTCCCTCCAGGCAGCGTGCGCCATCTGTTGGCAGAGGCCAAGAGTCTTTACTGGCAACGCTGACAATGTGACGTCATTTTATATAATATGGAGCAATATGGAGGCAGTGCAGCTTGTTCGTGACGGGTTACGAAATGTTCGATGTGGTAAAATGAGTGCAGAATTAAGCTTATGCCCTTCTTCGAAGATGTAACGTATACACGTGAGAAAACACGAAAATCCTTTCGACCAGTCGTTATGTAACACCCAGATGTTTCGGCCACTAAGTGCGTGTCGCTTGTGTGGGTAGCGAGCTTGCCAGGGATTTTTCTCCGCACTGACACCAGTCGTGACGTCTTTTTGTTTAACCTTTTTGAAGATACCAAGAGTGCGCGTGGATAGCTTTAATAGGCGCTGAAGATGCGCGAAAGAGGCGATTCTGAAAACTGTGAGTATGATTTCACGCTCCGTTAAGCGGTACTTTGAAAATAATGTTCTGCAGTCCTTGCGCAGAAAGTTGAAAACAATAATCTCGATGTTCATGATACTGGAATTCAAATAAAATCAATTTATGTTTTTTTTTTTTTAAATACAGAACCGCTTTAGTTTTTCTTTAATATGTACCTTACCTTCATTGATGTACTTGCGGACGATGATCTTAAACACCTCGTTGGTCTCCTCAAACCATTTCTTGAAGAAAGCCATCTCTGTCACGGTGAACAGGCGGTACCTATTTTTCATCAGCTCTCCGCAGACGGACTCCAGAATATCCTTCGCAACTGCAAAACGGGGACGACATTGTTTTGCGCACGTTTTGAGAGTTCGTAAGTATACTGAATTCTCCTGTCAATAAATCGCGCTTCTGTATGCCGTAATATTCCGACAGATAGCCCACCCGAAAGCGAGAACAAATAAGGTGAAAATGAGGAGCATGCCAACAAGGTAAAAATGTTACAAAAAAATGTTTAAAAAATTAGATTTTTTGTATTCCGTGACTCGCTAAACTTGTTTTCACATTAAGGGGAAATGGAGCATCGACAACTGTCTTTTCCAATCAGTAATGTTTGCTTATCTCCCCGCCATATCTAACTAACGCCATTTCGGCGGTGGTCACCATTGGCCATGGGGTACTGCAATTACTAAAAACAAGCTATATTTCCGTGTTTTTTTGGTTTTTTTTTTTTTTTACGATGATATAAATATGTGAAAAAGGGGTGATTTGTGTTTCGTTGGTGGATCACCTTTCGGGATATTATGGTGTGTCGCATGCCAGCCTATAAAAAGCCGTCTTCAAAAAAAAAAAACACACACACACAAAAAAAAACTTGTATTTATTAGGCTAGGTGGCGCAAGCTGCCGCCCATTACAAAGGGTATGGCCATTACCATACATCTATCCATCCATAAGTCATACTTACATATTTGTAAGTAAGCATCGAACAACATCGGTGATCGCCAATGTTGCTCGATGTACTTTTGAAAGAGGGTCTATTGAACTGGTGCAACGCAAACCGGAATACCCGTGTGAAAGATTCCACAAGCGCGCCCCCTCCTGTAAGTTACGCGATACTAGATAGAGCGAATAATAAAAAAAAAAAAAACGAATAAGATCCGCATAGCGAACACGAAACGGCCAATAAGACACTCACGCAGGTAGTTCTCTTGAAAGCGCCTCGTCCAGCCGATGTCAAGGTGCGTGTGAGCGACGAAGTGGAGGTTGGTCACTCCGGGCCGCGGCTTTGGACACATCTACAACATGGAACGGGACACTCGTTTTGAAGTCGAAAACAAAAATAAGCGGCACCGTTGCAAGACTCTCAAAATAAATGTCCGCTTTCCTTCCAGCGCTCGCTAGTTCTACCATGCGGCGAGACAGAGTACCATGTAAAATAATACGTCCTTGGCACATCGGAAGAGCGCAAAAAGCTCGGCATGCGCCAATCAGAGGGCGACCTAGGGGACCCGTAGAGATCAGTCAATGATTGGGCAGCCATTCAATGGTCCAGGTTGAGGGAAAACAAACGCACGTAGGCGCATTTGAACCGGGGGGGGGGGGGGGGGGGTTTAAAGAAACGCCCGATGTCCGAAAGGAGCAGGCAAACTTGCCCGCCGTGTAGTCTACCAAGCACAATCTTATCGTGTCGCAGCCAATCAGGTTGCGGTATTAGCCAACAAGAACATCAAAGAAACAATAACGAATTAGGATTAAGCGTGACCATTAATTAAGCCACGTTCAGTGCTTCTTAAATCGTTTTTTTTTAACAAATTGATATGGTAATTTCGCAGATAGGTGCGAGACTGTATGATACCTATATTGCAGTAGGAATGGGAAATGGCTTCTTCACCCGAGTCAGGAATTACGAAGACAAATGTTTTTTTTTTTCTTTCTTCTATATTACCTAAGCCTATAGGTTTTCGTTCAAACATCGAATGACACGGGGGCCCGTCACTGCGAAATTTATTTTGGCAAAGTGGTATAAAATATAACTCAGTTTTGTTTTTCTATATACCCCTTCCCCCCATTCTTCTCTTCACAGTGAGCATGGTAAAACGTCATGCACAATGCCACAGCTCAGACTTTTTTTTTTATCTTTGAACTGTCATTTGCTGAGTTCCGTCTGTAAATCGCCAAAAAAAGATTATGTGCTTTGCGGAGAAGTAAACACGGCGAACTTTTGGACTGCCGATTTATGAACGCCACCACGGTCCACAATGCTATCTGATTATTTGAATATCTTTCATTCCCTGTTCCAAACTGGTTTTCTATTTTGTTTTCTTACCTCAAAAGTGCAGTGGGGCTTTGGGCCCCGGGTTTTGGCATACAGGGTGTCGACGTCGTCTTGAGGAGACGCCACCACGCGTGTTGCGACGCATGCCAGAAACTGTACCACTTGGCCGAATCTCATTCTTTCGGCGGCTTTGACCTGAATGCGATGAAATAATAAAAAAGAAAAACACTCGTTAAAATTAAAATAATGCTTATCTTCTCTGCCAATGGATTTTTGCAAAAATCGTTATGAAGTTATACATTCTAAAAATGTATGTAAGTTCACATCTTTGGACAACACGGAGACAGCCGATCACGGTGAACAATAGAAGAATGCCAGCGAATGACGGAACTGCGATTGCGAGGAGAGCTTAAAAATGCAAGTTTGCGCAAGGGCAATGAGAAAGTATAATACCACGTCACTATAATCCACGTCATTCACTATACTCAACATTCATTCCTTCGTGCTACATTGTCAAGGCTAGCCAAGCATCCGTAGTGAATAGCTCCAACTCTGTCGAAGCTATTCTCGGCGTCAGCTATTTTACGCTGCGTCACCATGGCTAGCGTAGCTCCCAAAGGAATCCAACTTTGTCAAAGCTAAACCTCGTTTCAGCTGTAGTCCAGATGCAAACGACGCTACACAGGTCACTAGGACTTTCTTGCCTAAAATTGGTTCAGCGATGACAAAACAGGTGCAGGAACATGACGGACAGCATGATGGTCGGCTTTTGACACTGACTGTTCCCCCCAACCCGTAGCGTGGGCCGCGTCTGCACTCAAAAGCCGGTTCTCACATGCAGCGAAGCCCTGATGCAGCGAATCCCGGAGAAAAGCTCACCGGAGAAAAGCTCACCGGAGAAAGGCTCACCGGAGATAAGCTCACCGGAGATAAGCTCACCGCAAAACCGGCGGATGCGGAGAATAGCTCACCGATTTTTTTCTTCTTTTTACATGGAGGCTGTTGAATCATGCGTAACATATAACAATTTATTATCATCAAAATTCGTCAGCTTTGCAAAAAAGAAAATGTATTTTTTTGAATTATTTGTTCATCTTATTGGGTATATGGCCCCCAAATTAATAATTGCGGGCGAGTGTTTTCTGTGGCTTACTCTCTATAGAGAGTAAGCCACAGAGAGTAAGCCAACGAAAGCCGAACTGAAAACTTTCTGAACTTCAAGAGCAATAAAAAGTTTGAAAACTTAATGATGTCTGCCTAAAACCTAAACACCAAAACTGTAAATGCCGAAAATCCGAAAGTGTATGAGCAAGAACGCAATGCCTGAAATTCTCTTTGAAGCTTTTATTAACCTTTGAAAACAGGATAAAACAGTCAGTATAGGATATCGAGGCTTCTTTCTTCCACGGACATGCACTTTTCCCAGCCGTTCGTGCTGGTGTTTTCTCGCGTTGTCTTGTTGTGATAGTGCTCTTCTACGGTGAGCCACCCATGACCTTCAGAGCTGCACACTGACACCTTTGTTCCTTGCGACCTATATAGGAACTAGTCTTCTGTAAGGTAGCGAATAGAGCGAGTTGGTAAACGTTATACATGATGAAAACGGCTCAAACGACGACGAGGGAGTGAAGACAACAAACGCGACAGGACGAAGCTGTTTTCGCAACTAAAGTTTTGTTAGTGAAATTAACAAAAAGAGAAAAGTGTAGGCGACACTGACTACATCAACAAATACCTACTTTAACCATTAGGCACTACAGAATATTTGGAGCTGAAACGGTTCACACACCGCTAGGCCATCCTCTCGACGTCAGCCTCGCCGTAGCTTTACTCGTCCTGAGACGACCTTCGTCACGATTGCGTTGGATGTCACGTGGTCTCCGCTGGGCC